CTGTATTTGTTGTTGTTTTTCCAAGGCTTTGATGGAGAGAGGAGTCTGTCAGCTATAGAGGGAGGAGGGTGAAGGGTGGCTAATTGAGGGGTTAGCAGTAGTAAAGGTGGAGGTAACAAGAGGGAGTGGCAGGTAGTCTGGTATTGCTGGTAAGGTAGAAGGGTCAAGGGGAAGGTGCAGCCAGACAGCGAAGGTCTCAGAATCTTCCAGTGTACTGGGATAGCAGCCTTATAGCCCATGACAAAGGTACCTCTCTTGACTTAATAAAGACATGTTGTGTATCAGAAACTGTAAAATCAGCAATAATTAAGTCAATTAAAATGTCACCACATTAGCAGCAGAGAGTTTTAAAGCGACAAAGCTCTTGGGTTTGGTGGGGGCGGAGCGTTCCAGCATGACAGAGGTGGAGGCGGGGGAATGGATAAAATTACTTCTAAACTCTGGTTCCCCTTCCCCACCTGGCTGGAGCTTGTGACACATTTTGGAGTGAAGCCAGCGCCTGGCTTCAGTCCCACATCCTTTCAAGCACGTGAACTACCCTTCTCTCCACCACCTAAAATAAGAAAGAAAGAATATAAATGTGGAAATTACTTGTAATCCCATCTGCTATCTCCCAGAGATGACCTCTGCTAACATTTCAGGGTATAACCTTCCGGTCTTTTTTTCCTATGCATATTTATACATACATTACAAAACCGAGATCACTTCACGCCTACTGTTTTGTTACCTATTTCTCTCACTCTATAAAATATTGTGAGCATCAGCACATAGATAGACATCATTGTTTTAAACAGTGGTATCGCATCCCTCTGTGGGCAAGATCATGCCCTCATTTACTGAACTAATCCTCTCTTGATGGGCAGTTAGGTTTCCAATTGTTTGCCATCGTAAGCAGTGCTGTGATAAATATTTCTGTACACATATATCTCCAGCTAAATTTCTGCAAATGGAATTGTTAAGCCAAAGACGATGCACTCACTAAAGGCTTTTGATGCAGGGGAGAAAGAGTGCTTTCCTCAGCAGGTCCAGAGAATGGCCATTTCCCACTCCCCTAGATAACCTTGGGTAATAACTTTTCTCCTTATTTGCCAGTCTGATCGATGAAAAATGATATCTTACTGTTCTTGTTTATATTTCTTTGGTTTCAAGCAAGGCTGAGCATTTTGTCGAATAAGAGCTGGCTATTTGTGTGTGTGTTTTTCTTGATGAGTTGTCTTGACTTAACTTAGTTTTCATTTAGGTGGCTATCTTTTTTATTGCTCTATGAGAGCTCTTAATATAGTATAAGTATCTTCTCTTTTTATTTGTGTTATTAATTTCTGTCAACTTTACAAACACCCTCCCAGGCTCGTTGTTTGCCTTTTAGCTCTGATTAAAGTATATTCTGTTATACAAATGTTTAAATATTTTATGTTACCATGTCTATCCATCTTGTAGAGTTCTACTTTTGGGGATTGTATTTCTGGCACCTGGAGTGAACTTCTGTTAAGTAAATGTTGCTGGTGAGTGTCCACTCAGGAATCTGTAAACCCAGCTCTGAGCTCTGCACTCATGTATCTAAATGCTAATTTGACATAATGACTTGGAAGTCAGATCCACATTCATGTCCTGGTCCTAAAAAATGCCGCCATTCTCCACTCACCCCAAACTCAGTCCTTCCTCAGTGTGCCTGATTCAAGAAAAGACCCATCTTCATTCAGATAAAAACATTTAAGAATCCTTTTCCCCTTCTTTCTCTCTTATTTAATAATGACTCTGTTAGCAGTTTTGTCAATTCTGTCTTGAAAATATGCCCTCCATCCAATTGATTCTTACCGCCTCCGCTCCTGCTGTCCTCGTGGAGCTGGGGCTGCCAGCTTAGGCATCACAGAGGCCTGGCCTCTCTGCTTTCCTTCTAACCCCTCTGTAGCCTCTTCTTCAGACGGCAGCCAAACCGAGCTCTTAAAAACAAATCACATTGCGTTACACCCCTGTTCAAGGTAGTCTAGGGTCTTCCCATTATGCTCAGAATAAAACCCAAACTCTTTATAACGGGGACCCTGGATCCCTCCAGATCTGGACTTCTCCCTCCTGGCTCTCCAGTCTCATCTCTTCCTCTTGCTTGCTCCCCCCAACACTCTGCACAACCATATACCCCATTACATGCACATGCATATCACGCCACATTTTCTCCTCTTCACACCACACACACCTAACACATACACATACCACACCACACACAGTCATTATACACATACACACACACGCCACACATACACACACACTACATACCCCACGCAGCACACACAAACAATACATACACAGATGCATATACAGTACATATGGAATACATCACACAAACACATATAGAGGCTTTCATACACACACATTGTCACACACAAATACACAAGCCCATGCTTACTACACACACACACACACACACCCCGTTACCACACATATACCAAACTTATTCGTGCCTTGGGGCCTTTGTCATTTGTTCTTGCTGTTCCTTCTACCTAAGAGCCTTTTCTCCACAGCTCCGCACAGCTGACTTCAGGCTGCTGCTCAAATATCAGAGAGCCCTTCACTGACTACATGTTCTAAAATACTCTGCTCATTGCCACTTTTTGTTCTCTTGCCGTCTTATTTTTCTTTGGAGCGCATCTTCTTGCCTGACACTATTACATACACTTATTAACTGTTGTGTTCCCACCTCTCTGGAATGAGATTGTCACTACAGCATGAACTTTGTTTAGCACCTAGTAGGTGTCTAGTAAATATTGAATGAATATGTGTAATATTATGACTGTGGGTGATTGTGTTTGTAGATGCATTGATGGCATGAATTGATAAATGTGAGCATGTGTGTGGAACTGTTGAAATAATGATGGTGAATTTGTGACTATTACTAAGTTGTGTGTTAGGATGCCTGGCCAACCATGTCTCTGTGTGTGTGTTTGTGTATGAAATGTGTGTTTTCTTGTCTGGGAGTGTGGTAGGTTTGGATATTTGGGTATTTGGGTATGTTTAGGCCGTGTTCATTTCAGGAAGGCTGCTGTAGTCTGTACGGAGTTGTGCTTCTAACCCAAAGGCAGTACCTCCCTCTGGCAGTTCAAAACCACCAGCAGCATGTTGGGAGGAAGATGGGCAAACTCCTCCAGTACAACTTACAATCTGCACTGGAGCGTCACCTATGAGTTGAGTTAAGGAAGCTGAGACATTTAATAAAAGGAAGAGACCTTCTTCCTCTCACTGATCATGTTCCCTCCTCCACCTTTTTGACCCATGAAGCATGAAATAACTGTGTGTCTTTGGGACCCTGTAGACACTGGACATGGCTCCAGTGCTGACACTCTAGGCTAATATAAGGTGAGAGCCCACAAGGATATGGGATAGTCATGGGGCTGATAGGATCTTGGTGACCTTGTGCTGACCTAAGCTATTAGTATGAGATGTGTGTGAGCCACAGAGGTCAGGCTGCTTGAGTGTTCTCTGATGATTGGATGATTTTCCTTGGGACAATTTATTACCAAACACGGAGACTGCAGAAATGTGGGACAAGCCTTCCATTGGCCTCAACATAGCAATGTTCTTTCTCTAAACCTCAGTATGCTTATCTATAAATGAGGTTATTGCTCTTGGCTTCTTTGCTTCTTGGTAATATGGTGAGAAAAGAGTGAGGTAATGGTGGTGCATATATAGTATATATTAACAGTTACAACTACAGTGCTCTTATGTCTGTGCAACATGTTAAGTTAATTACTTTAATCCATTAACTCATTTGATCTTCAGAGTGAATGGCACAGTGTCCCCAGTATAGCCCCGCACTTGGACTTAGGTGGGTGTTTGTTGAAAGAATGCAATGTGAATAGTGTATTTATGAATGAGTAAGAATCTGAGTGATTGAACAAAGAGAACATTGTATGAAACAGCCAGTGAATTGATAAATCATAGTGGTAAATTTTAGCACCTACTGTGTGCTCAAAATACTGAAGAATAATGATGTCAATTTGAAGACTAAGGTGTACCTGATTCAGGCCATGGTCTTTTTAGTCACTTGCTATGCTGCTAAGAAGTGAACAATGAATAAAGATGACCAAAGAATTGATGACTTTGAGTTGTGGTGTTGGAGAAGTGTATTGAAAATCCCTTGGATGGACAAAAGAATGAAGAAATATGTCTTAGAAAAACTATGGCCAGAGTGCTCCTTGGAGGCAAAGATGGTAAAACTTTATCTCTCATACTTTGGACAAGTTGCTAGGAAAGGCTATTCCTTGGAAGAAAATATTATGCTTGGAAAGGTGGAAGGTCAGCATACAGATTGAATAGGTGTGGAGAGAGAATACAACCCTGGCACACTCCCTTCTTAATTTTAAACCATTATAGTAGATGGAGTAGAGCTAAAGCTGTCAACAACTTCATCCACAGGGGCGGCGAAGGAGAAGAAGACCCTCAATCATGTGGATTGACGTAGCGACTGCCGCAATGGGCCCAAGTGTGTCAGAGATGATGAAGATGGCATAGGACAGGACAGGATTCAGATCTATTGTTCTAGGGTCTCTATGAGCTGTACTCAACTTGACGGCACGTAACAACTGTGTGCTAGGCTCTATTCTACACGCTTTTCTTAATCCTTGAAACAACTCTGTGGACTCGTTACTATTATATTGTCATTGTGCAGATGGAGAATCTGTGAATCAGAGAGGTTCAATGACTTACCCAAGACCACAAAATTTCTTAGGATCAGGGTTAACCTTCCAATCTTGGCAGACTGATCCCAGAACCCAAGGTGATTCCAACTCTACGCTAGTCCTGTTAAGTGAATCGATGAATGAGTGAGTGGATACATAGATCCAGGAGCCTTACACCCTAAGCTGTGGTCAAGACAGGCCACTTTCTGGGAAGAGACAGGATCTCTTGGGAGTGAGATGAGTGAGGCTGGGGTTTTCCAACAGGGTGAAGTCCAGCATCCCTGTCTCAAGTCCCCTCTCCTTCTTGCCCATATGCAGGCGGATGACGCGATGCAGCACTACGGGGTGAATGGCTACTCGCTGCATGCCATGAACTCGCTCAGTGCCATGTACAACCTCCATCAGCAGGCAGCCCAGCAGGCCCAGCATGCCCCCGACTACCGGCCGTCTGTGCACGCACTTACGCTGGCTGAACGTTTGGCTGGTAAGGGCCCTGGGGATGGGTCGCTGGGGTCTGGGAACCAGGTCTGGGGAATGAGGTGTGAGCAGATCTTTGGGGGTTGTGGGAGGAGTGAAAACTGGGAAGGTTTACTCTGGTTCAGAAAGATCCAGACTATTTAGCAAAACAGAGAGATGCAAGTTCAAATCCAAGCATGGACATCCAGAACAATCCTTGTTTGCCAGACTCTGTTGAGACCTGGAGCTACCCCGGGGCTGCACATTCTCCTGATAGACTTGTGAGTCTATCATTCATTCACTCTCTCTCATAGATGAGGAAACAGAGGCAGGAAAGTCATAAAGGGTGTTACAAGTGGGACATAGCTAGAAGAGACCCAAGGTGCCCAGGGAAGGCTAGTTCAGGCACAGGGGGTGGTTAAGGATAAGTTTCTATGTACTGAACATCTATTATGTGCCAGGTAGCATGTGAGGCTCACTGTACCCATGTCTTGAATCATTAAATCCCTAAATCATCCTTATGAGGGGAGAGTGTTCCTATAGACGAGCTGACTTAGGCTCAGAGAGGCTAAGTGTGGGCTGGAGGGGAAGAAGGAGAGTGAACATGACACTCTTACTAAGAATATGCAGATCTGTAGACAATGCTCAGCCACCTCTCTTCTCTGAACTTCAGTTTCTCCATTTATCAGAAGGAGGCAGTGACGTCCACCAAGCATGGGGTGGTTGGGATGACATATGCAAAGTGTTGCACAGAGCGTGGCATATATAGTAGGTGCTCAGAAGTCATTTTTCCTCAAGGCCTAGGGTCGGTGTTTAAGAGGGAGCTGCAGCATGCAAGCTCTCACTGCTTTAACTGGTTGCTGCCCTGTCCTGATAGTTTCTCACTGGGTGTGATAGGATTTGACAGCATAGGGTGAGGAGTTTGATTTTTTGATTAATGTTACCACCCACCCCATCTTGTCCTAGTTCTGGACTGGTGCACCCAGCCCAGTGCCACCAGTCCATAGAGGACACCAGGGCACTTACTCCCAGGGAGACCTGATGCCGATGAAGAGTAAGTATGGAGCAGCCACTAAGGGCTCAGACATCAGGGCAGCAGGATCAGCTGGTGCAATCTGAGAGGGCACCTGCAACCATGAGATTGCCAGGCCTTAACAAGGCAGGACAAGCAGAGTGGACCAGCATGCACGAGCATAGAAGGAGATACTTCTGCTCCTTGAGCTCTGCCAAGTTTCTGAACATGGCTCAGGGCCTAAAACGGAGGCTCTAGTTTCCTCATTTAGTCCTAGCGATAGGAAAACTGTCCTACCCCAGTTATGGCTGTTTCCCTGGTATTCAGTGAATTTCTCGTGTCCAGCCTGGTGGTGACATTGACTCCTGACAGTGTTCCAGGATTCAAGGACCCAGAGCTCAAATGAAAAGAGTCAGGGGAGAAGATGCACTTTTGCCTTTGTGGGGGCAGAGGAATCTGAATATTCAACTCAACCGTAATTCTGATTCTTAGGAAGGAGCGACATGAGTTCCTGGTGGGCTTTTAGACAGAGTTTTTACCTTAGGTTTTACTAATGTTATTAAACAGTTTGTCTTTCAGTATCCATGCTACCCAGATGCATGGCTGAGAAGTCCACACCCCCACCCTTACCCTCCAGTACCCAGCAGATTTTGTGGTTAGGGTTCAGTCCAGACTAGAATTAGGGTCAGTGTGTGAGGGATTCAGGCTCCAGTCTCTTCCTGTTAAGGTTTACAGCCTCACTCAGAAACCCACCAGATGTCCCTGAGTCAGAGTGACTCAGTAACACTGGGTTTTAGGTTCTTTTAACTGAAGAAGGGACCAAGCAAGCTCAAAATCTGAGGCTTCAAATACCCAGTTGCCTTCCTGCCTACCCACTTTTAGGGTAATGTGGGAGACTCTCGAATGCTTGCACTCTGACAGCCCTACACAGATAAGGAAATAGCCTTAAGCACAGACAACCCCAGATCCTCGTGTGTGGTGGTGGGCGGTGGGGAGAAAGGTTATGCCCGTGCTCTTCCCGATTAGGTGGACAGAAAGGCTAGACAAGTGTTTATTCTGGGTGATTTTCGTGTGACCAGACATGAAGGCAAGACTGCAGTCAATGGTGCGTCACCCATGTGCGCCTTCCAAGCCTTAGTGCCTAGAAACTGAACTGTGTATTCTCTCCTTGGGGAAGCAGCCATTGGATCAAAACTAAGTTCATCTTTCCTGAGTTCTGGGGTTCATAAGACACAGGAACAGGAGCCTCAGGTTCTCCTAGGCCAACTGTAATGACAAGCTCTGCACCTGGAGCACAGAGACTCAAGTACCGGTTCTTGCAATGTAGTGAATTCTGTGATCAGTTAGACTTCCTCTGTCTAGACCTTAAAGATAAGTATCAGTTCATAGCCTGGCTTCTTACTGGCCAGGGTTTAGTAGTCTCACATTGAAGAGGTCTTAGTATCCAGAATCTAAAGGCCATGGGGTATTAGAATCTTTGTGACATGGATTTATACTTTCTTAGTATTATGTAATCTCAGAATATTATCCTGTAGTGTCCTCAGATTTTAAATGATTTGAGGTCAAATGCCCAGACCACCCAATTCCAGATAAGCCAGCTCCCCTCAAGGCACTTCTTTTTTTTTTTTTTTTCATGGTTGATATTTTATTGGTCAGGGCACTTTTTATGATGATGAGTTACACCTCTGTAGCCCTGGCAGTGGGCAAGAGAGGAGAGAGACCATGAAAATCCAGTCACTCAAAGAGGGGTGGGTGCTTTTAAGGTTCCAGCACCATCAGGACTCTGGGTGTCTGCAGGGTAATAGTAAAAATATATTTCCCATAATTAAATGGGCCCCCTCTCCTTGCCCTCCAACGGCTGTACATTTCAAGACATCATCTTGGAGGCCCGCTATGGCTCCCAGCATCGCAAACAGCGTCGCAGCCGCACGGCCTTCACTGCCCAGCAGCTCGAGGCCCTGGAGAAGACTTTTCAGAAGACTCATTACCCAGACGTGGTGATGCGTGAGAGGCTGGCCATGTGCACCAACCTGCCTGAAGCCCGGGTGCAGGTAGGGCTCACTTGTCCTAACTAGACCTTATAGATAAGCACCAGCCCTTCAGTTTAACTCCCTATTGCCCAGGAGCAGGGCTTTCAGCCCTTGGTGCAAGGTGCAACTGATAGCCTATGAATGCCCTATATGATAGGAGGGGAGTTTTGGAAGAGATGCAGGTGTTAGCTTCCTGGGGTGTTGCTTATTGTAGAAGCAGGTTATCATATACATCCCCTCTGCTGCATCATTCCACTCCTTTCCTTCTCACCCTCTGCCCTCATCCATTGCACTCTACCCCAGGTTTGGTTCAAGAACCGCAGGGCCAAGTTCCGGAAGAAGCAGCGCAGTCTGCAGAAAGAGCAGCTGCAGAAGCAAAAGGAGGCTGAGAGTTCCCACGGGGAAGGCAAGACTGAGGCCGCAACCCCAGATGCCCAGCTGGACACTGACCAGCCCCCTAGCTTGTCCAGTGGCAATGCCCCTGCTGAGCTTCACCTGAGCCTCTCTGAGCAGTCTGCCAGTGAGTCAGCCCCTGAGGACCTGCCTGACCGAGAAGAGGAGACCCGGGCAGTAGCTGAAGATCCCAAAACTGAGAAGAGCCCTGGAGCTGAGAGCAAGGGCCTGGGCTGCAAGAGGGGCAGCCCCAAGGCAGGTGAGTCCTGAGGGTCTACAGGAGGACCGGGGCAAACAGCCAGGGACTGGTCCCAACAGAGCTCTGGGAAGCTGAAGTGAGTGAGTTAGACCAGAGGAGAGAGTCAAAATGACCATTAGAAAGTATTGAGCCAAGTCAGAGTCCTAGGGGTCGGTGTCAGAAATTCACCCTTTAGTTGTTGAATCAATAGTAAGATTTAGGAAACTCTGCCGAAGGGAGCTGAGTGGCAGGGGAGGGGCACTAGGTGGCTCAGGGGAAAGGCTGTTTATCATCACGGTGGCACTGATAACTTGGGCTCAATTACCAAATCAACTTAAAGGTTAGTGGGTGTTTAGGACCCACCCAGCAGGGCTGCAGAGGAAAGGCCTGGCACTTGGCTTCAGTAAAGATTATGGCCAAGAGCACACGATTGAACAGTTCTACTCTGTACATGTAGTGTCACCATGAATTGAAAGTGGCTTGGCGGCAGCAGGCTTTTGTGTGTGTACGTGTGTCTGGAATGTCTGTTTCCTGATTTTGGCAACCAAGACAGACATACTAGCGCACATGGTGTGAATAGACTTAGACTTGTGTTTCCCAGAGGACAGAGAGATGATACCTCAGACACAGACCCCATGGACAGGGTGAGGAGGAAATGGTAACCATGGGCAAAAGATGAGAAAGGGGAAGTGACAGCCCTTGAAAAGAAAAAGGAGCCCCAGAGAGCCCCCCCCCCACCCGACAAAGCCTTGGGGATCTGTTAAAGTCCCTGGAGCTCCCCCAGAAAGCCTGAGTCCTTCACTCACATGGTGCCCTGAGACCTGATAGTTGAGCGGAGGGATCATCTCCAGGCAGGCCAGTCCTGAGTGCTTGGTTCTTGGTTCTTTGCTTTCAGACTCCCCAGGCAGCCTGGCCATAGCTCCTGCAGCCCCTGGGGGCAGCCTGCTGGGTCCCTCCCACTCCTACTCCTCATCCCCGCTGAGCCTCTTCCGCCTGCAGGAGCAATTCCGCCAGCACATGGCAGCCACCAACAACCTGGTGCACTACTCTTCCTTCGAAGTGGGGGGCCCGGCCCCTGCTGCCGCCGCTGCTGCCGCCGCCGCTGTTCCCTACCTGGGTGTCAACATGGCCCCCCTGGGCTCACTGCACTGCCAGTCCTACTACCAGTCCCTGTCAGCAGCCGCTGCTGCCCACCAGGGGGTATGGGGTTCCCCATTACTGCCCGCACCCCCTGCAGGCCTTGCACCTGCCTCTGCCGCACTGAACAGTAAAACCACGAGCATTGAGAACCTGCGGCTTCGAGCCAAGCAGCATGCTGCCTCTCTGGGACTTGACACGTTGCCCAACTGACTGCCTGGCCACCACCCAGCCAGGGGTCTTGGGTCCTCTAACCCCATGGTATCCCAGATGGCTTGTGAGGAGTTCACTCTAAGAGGCCAGGGGTGGTAGGGCCTGGAGTCGGGCTCCCCATTCCCCTCCCTGACCACCCCAGCCTGAGGTGAAGCCCACACCCTCTGCACCCTCTGCATGGCCCTGCTTGGACCCCACGGAGGCCAATAGGGAGAAGGGGAGAGGCTGGGGGAGTGGGAGGCTCTCGCTGGCCAGATCCTCACTTCAGCATCCCCTCCTCCCTCTCCTCCTTCCCCTCTTGCCCTCTAGTAAGTAAGTTGATGTGTGGAATGTGAGATATAAATATAAATATATAAAGCTATATTTTCAGGCATCTGCCTGCCCCAGGCCCCCTACCCACACCTCCTGCCCTCCATGCCCGCCTCCACATGCAGCTTCCACATCCTTTCTCTTTTTTCCCCTTGACCTCACGCCATCTCTGCCCGGTCCGCTTTCCCCTCTCTCCCTTTCTATCTTCCTTACCCTAAATCTTTCTGCCTGCTCTTCTCCCAGCCTCTATCTCTTCCTTTGGTGCTGGCTGTGTTGGTGTTGTCAATTCACAAGCCGTATTTTGTTGGGGCTGTTGTGGGGTTTTTTGTTGTTGTTTCAGTACTTTGGCTCCTCTCTGCTTTCCTCCTCCCTTCCTGCCTGGTCACCATCTGCCTGACTCCTCCCACTACCTCCACCTCCTCCAGGAAGCTTCCTCAGAAAGGCCAAAGGCCCCAGTCAGGGCTCCTGGAGCTGCAAGCAGGAGAGGTACCAAGGCCTACACTCACCCTTCCCCAGGCCTGGCATCTAGACGGAGTGATGTCTTTCTCTTCAGCTTTCAGGGGCCCTGGTGGCATAGTGGTGGACTGCTAACCAAAAGGTCGACTGTTTGAACCCACAGGAGAGAGAGGGACAGTCTCCTCCTGTAAAGTTTGGAGCCTTGGAGACCTGATGGAGGGTTACTGTAAGGTGGGATCCACTTGATGGCAGTGGCACCTGCAGCTTTGAGGTCCCTGAGTGAATAATATTTCAACACATCAAGTTCCCAAGATTCAGAGGTGGGGTCTGGTGCAGTCAGGTTGAGGTTGACAGGAGGATCCTTAACTGTAATCCTTCCAAAGACAGGGGCCTGGAGCCAGTGTTTCTCCAGGACTGCTCAGGGTAACCCAGAAATGTGGCCTTTCACCGTGACCACAGGGTGCTAGCCTACTCTTTGGTGACACCTCCCTCCTTTGAGAGGCAGCAGGGGAAAGGCTACTTTTGGAGCGAAGGTCTCCAGGGGGATGAGGCAGCTGATTTTCTCCTACAACCCCAGGCCCAGCTTGCACTGTGTGTTCTTAGTTAGGAGTGTGCCTGAGCCCAGACCATAGGTGGCATTCTGACTCGTCATAGTGAGGGCAAACCAGCCAGTGGCATGGTGTCCCAGGCTTCTGTCTCAGAGCCATGGTGGGAGTCAGGGCCTCCACCCAGCTAGTCACTGGCATGGAGAGGTGAGTTCGTGTGAAAGGCCAGGAAACCCAGCTCCGCAAACTCCCTTCCAAATTCCCAAGCGGTACAACCTTGGGCAGCCAGCAGCCTCTCAGCCCATTTTGCCATCTGAGTAGATGATGTGTAAGATCCTTTCTGATTCTAACATTCGACAGGCCTATGCTTACAGCCTTGCAGGACAGAAGTCTTTAGGTAAACCAACAAAAATGGCTCTCAGAGCCATAATGTGCAAATAAGAAAATGACTTGTGGGGACAATAGATATTACACACACAAGGTTCTCTGTAGGTGCTATCACGTTGGCCCTCAGTTTCCCGATAAGTATAATGGGTCCCTTCTGCTTCACACAGCCTGGGTTTGATTTTGCTTTATTTACTTCAGTTTCAGTCCAGCCTCTCTGGTCACCCCACTGGGTCATACCCTGGAATGCTTTCAGGGACTTTGGCAGGGTGGCAGTTGTGGTGGTAAGAATCCTGGTCATGACCCTAAACCCTCTGGGACTCACCACTGAACTCTCCACCTTCTTCTCAGAGAAATTATTCCTGAAACCCTCTCCTGATGGGAAGAAAGGAGGAACTTTGGTGCTTCGGTAGGATCAGCTTGCAGGGTGCTCAGTGCCCATCATCCCTGGAGGCATGAACTGGGCTAGGGCAGATGAGAAATGCTTCGGGGAGCGGGGAGAGGTAAATGAGGAGACGTGGGAGCTTGTCCCACAAAAATTGTTTGAGAACCCTCTATGTGACAAGCGCCAAGTCAGGCAGCTGAAGTTTTTTGAACCCAGAGTGTTTGCTGGGATCTGGGATGGGGAAGGTGAACCCAGCAGCCATGGGAGCCTTGGAGGAGAGGACACTCTCCGGGGATTGAGAGCTTGGTGGAGACTCCAGGAGACACAGAAGTTTTTTTGCTTTGGGTGCTATTCTGAAGCAACAACAACAAAAAATCTTCTGTAGACCTCTGCAGGCATGGGGGTGCTGATGTTTTGTGTCCCTTGCTAGGTGTGCCTGTCACTGGGCCTTGGAACCCCATGTTCCTAGGACACTTCCCTGACCTCCTAAGAAAGCTGTGTTCTGTCACAGTGGAGTCAGGTCCATCTCAGGCTCAGCCCAGCTCCCCTCAGATGCTTGTCAACACTTCTCCCATTCCCTTGACTCAGCTCCACAAGCCTGCTGCCCAGAAAAGGCAGAGAGGTCCTCAGCCCTGGAGAGATTTCAACCCAGGTTAGGGAATCAAGATCAGGTACTGTAACAGCTAGAGAGCAAGAGGAAAGGGTACTCGGGAGTGGAACTGAGAGTCTCCTCAAGGGGATGGAGTGCTTGAGTGGGTCCATCATACCTGAGGTGGAACCGAAGCCTCTCCCAGACCTTCTGGGCCACCCTGAAGTCCCAGCCATGACTGTCCCAGGAAAGCCTCACCCTTCGTTTCTCCTTCCTGTCTGAGGTCTCCCTTTCCCTGCTTATTCCCTTAGAGCATGGTCTGGAGGGGGGGCCTGGGCCCTTGACCCGCCTCTGTCGCTGGCCGGCTGCTTTCCAAACTGGCTGTTTTGTGATCATTTGTGCTTAATAGTTGTGCCAGCCGTGGCTTAAAACACTGTGTACTATATTTATTTATTCAATTAGTTGGAAAAACAAGACTCAAACCACCCCTTCTCTTGCCTTCCCCCCTCTGTAGTGCAGCATGACTCTCTGTCCTGTGTATCTGTCCGTCTGCCTTCCTGTGACGTTGTGACCTGTTCTTTGTCCTACTTCGCTAATAAAAGAGAATCTGGCAGCACAGACTTCAATCTGATCCGTGTTCCTTTGTTGGGGGAGGAGGGTGTTGCCTGAAGCGGCCCACACAGGTAGAGTCTCGAGGCTTCTCACTGCATCTCCAACCAGTGCGAGTGGGAAAGGAGGGCAGGCTGCCTCTGACCGGGCTCTGCACTGTTCTGGCAGCTCTCCCCTTGTTCATCTGTGGCTGATGTGCCACTCTGGAGTAGTTGTGGGGGATGAAGGGGCCCAGGGTGAGGGGTGTGTTTATCTTCTTGGACTCATGCAGGACAGCCTGGGGCAGGGGATATCTGGGGTGGAGGTATTCAGCCCAGCAAAAAGCAACCTCAGGGGAATGAGCCTGCAGGTCCAAGAGGGGACAGAGTATTTTGGGGGGAGCCATGAGTGAGCCAAGACCAAAGGGAAATGCTGAAGGAAGGCACATTGGGATCTAAAGCCAGAGCTGCTCTCTAATGAATGTGCTCCTCGTCCTTGTGAGGGTGAAAAGGATAAAGAAGGGACTTCTGCTATGGGCAACAGGCTGTATTAGAGATTCGTGAAGGCCTTTCCCTTCTGATACTTTTCAGTATCACAGAACACGACAACTATAATGTGTGCAAAGAGGAAATGAGTGGTGGGAGAGAAGTCAAATTGGGAAAGGCTGGATGGTAAGAAAAGAGTCTTGATGGCACAGTGGTGAAAGGTTGGCAGAAGAATCCAACAGTTTCCTTGGTTTTGTTTTGACTTTCATCTGACATATATGTATGTTATGCATTTGTGTATCTGGATGAGAACCTGTGCTGTGAATTTTTAAATGTCTACCTGATGTGAGTGTGTATGTGTGTGTGTCTATCTATGTGAAGAAGAGAGAAAGAGTGTTAGATGAATGTAAATGTATAAATACTAACTGACGAGGTGCAATCCTGGTCCTTCCCACTGCATAGTAAGAGAAAGATGATGAGATTTCCCCACTCAGCCCTTTTCAGCATGGCTCTGCTCCTGCCTGTTCCTTGGAATTTCAGCATTGCTGCACAGGATTTCAGAGGCAGAAGATGCTGTGCTGCAGAGCCTGGGGTTTGAGGGGAAGCGAGAGTCCTGTCCATCTTGGGAGTTCCTGCAGGAGAAGCCCAACAGGCCTGAGCTGAGCCAACGGCTGCGCTGCCTACGGGCTTCCTGAGGGCAGGATCAAGTGGCCCTGGGAGAACCCTGACCTCTCCACTTCCTGGGTCCTGCTGACCCCAGGAGATGCATTCCTCTCTCCCCTGTGGGGCTGAGGATTAGGACAGGGGAGTTTGTCCCACCCCTCCACTGGGGAAAGACTGGCAGATCGAATGTCTGCTCCCCTCTCTTACCTCTCCCTCCTTCTGAGTCATGGCAAGCCTCCTACATGCCTCAGCCCTGAGGCATACACCTTCCCTGGTATGGTGGGTGCCCTGGTAACCTCGTGATTGGAACCTCCATTCTTTCGCTCAGCACTTACTGAGCAGCTGCTACCTGCCTTGCACTGAGCTGGACCAGGAAGAAACAATGGGGAGGACTTGGGGCTTGAAAGACACTAACTCAGCCTAATAGTCAGACTTGCCCTTCAGGATGGAGGCTTTTTAGCTGAGCCACATGGTCCAGAGTTCACCAAGAGGCAGGAGAGAGGCCACTGGGTGAGGGCACAATACACACAGCTGCAAGCTGTGCTGACCAGAAGCCCCAAAGAGCAAGGGAAGCTCCTTTTTTTTTTAAAAAAAAA